TCATAGTGTTCATACAGCATGTTTGATATAACGTTTTTAATAAGAATAATGAAAATACGTCGTAACATTGCAGATGTCAAGCAAACTTATAAAAGTTATAATAATGAAAATGACAGGGAAACTCAAAAGTTAACCCTTATTATTTATAAACTTTGAATGTGTTTTAAAAAATATAAATTTTTGATTAGATATCTAYACACGAACATATTTTTTGTTTTTAAATAATCAAAAACCTAATACAGTAATACATACTTACCTATATTTAGAATTTATTTTTTAAATTTTAATTGGGAATCTGCGTTTTATACTTTWAATTGTATTCGCATAATCACACGATGGAAACTATATACATTATCTCATATATAGTTTAAAAATTGTAAAGTATATTTGTACTTGGTACAAGTTTATAATAAAAATTGCGTATGTTTTTAGTTGTTACCTATATATAACATATATAACACTGTTTCAGGACTTAATGTGATTCAGGAAACGGTAAAAAAATTATACTTCTAAGATTTTGTTATTTCGACAATATATGAGTTTTCAGTAAATTTCACTTGTGTGATAAGTTACACAACTTTTGCATTTATTCAGGTAGGCTTTCGTTAATTAAAATACWATTTTATATACTATTATTACTTTTATCTTTTACCCGTCATAATTGTTTATAGTTTTTCTATAATTTCATATCATTAGTGGCATGTAAGCATTCCGCTAAACTATTATATCTTACATAGTTAAATTTTAMATCATAATATAAAACATCAATCTTTGACCTATACCTATGATCAAAATATTAGTTTTATAAAGAATTAAAAAACCAATTAATCAACCTATACATTTTTGAAAATTCAACACATTGAATGCAAGTTTTTTACAGTAGTTTTTAATCTCATAATATACTTATGATTTTTTCTTTAATAAACCTTGTTAGTCTTTTAATATTGTTTTTATAACACATCAGTAGGTAAGTTTTTATATAATATAAAGTACCTCATTATGTTCTAGGATATTTTAACATTTATTGACGAAGATCCTGATCAACCAGAACTATGTCAAGTATGGTTTGAAGTAAAGACGTCGAAAACATGTAAACGTCAGTCACATTTACCATTAGCGATTATGGGAAAAGATTYTTCTGCTCTTAAAAATCAGGTAACTACATCTGGAGGTAAAGGGATATAAATACAAAAACCTACAGTCCCAAAACCCAACAGTACCAACCAACCTACAGCTAATATAGTGTCAGATGCCGAAACTTAAAAATAAATAAWTAAATTTTAACCACTCGTAATTTTTGTTTTAGACTGATCATGAAAAATTMAATGTGAGGGAGCCAACTAATTTCAATGAAATACCTTCTAGGAAAAATCCGTTTCATTACAAAACGAGTAATTTCAATCAGAATAGAACATCTTCAAACATTGAAAATAAAGAAAAGCCTAATATAAATGATTTAGACAACAAATTTAATAAATCAGTTAGTAATGAATATTTTAGTACCCGGGATGAAAATAAAACAACCAATGAGGAAATTAAAAATGGTAACTTAGCCGAAATTATTTCAAAAGAACAGGAAAAACAATCAGGCAATGAAAATGAAGATAATTATTTAAACAAGTATAGGAAATCACTCTACGATAAAAATGGAAAGGAGGAAGCTAAAATAGATAATTCAAATACCAATACACCTGAAGACAAAATGTCAGCAGATCATATTATGAATAACAAACTTTGGATTAAAAAAAATATGTCACAATATGAAAACAAAGAACATTACTTAAGTAATAATTTTGAAAATAAATTCACTTATTTCAAAATTAATAACACCGTGCCTAGTAGATCGTCTAATAAAGAATACAGTTATCCAGGAAAAAATGAAACTATTGCACACTACAATGATTTAAAAAAATATCTCGATCAAAGTAAAAACTCTGAAGGTAAATATGAAAATTCAGTTATAAGTGAATCAGATAAGTATAATGAAAATAGAGATGGTAAAATAAATCAGGATGTTCCGGAAGATTCCTCAAATAACGATATAAAATTTAAGTACAAAAATAATGAAAATATGGAAAAAACTTCTAAACAAAAAACATTTGAAAACAAAACGTCAAATAAAGAGATGAATGATTCCGGTGATAAGAAAAAACCTTCAAATAATGACAACATTTTGAATCGAGATAATTCGGAAAAATTTAATTTAAATAACAACTCACGTACTTATAATAAAACTCCRTACTCGGACAACGGAATTAAATATAATACAACCAACGGAGGAAAAATAGTCGATGTTTCATATCAAAGCCAATCGAAAGATAACAAATCGATTGCTTATGATAACAAGGCGCCAGTCGATGTAACTAAAGAAAATATAGCAAATCAAACGCATTCGCAAAACAATAATCCTGAGCCCAAGCCGTTTCAAAAAAATGAAACCAATGTCAATGGTTCAATAACCCAGAGTACGCCCCGTACTGACTCGACGACTGAAAATAAACCGACGGGTAGTGGAAATAAAGTTGTTGATGCTAATACTATTAATACGAAAACACATAGTACAAATAATGATAATCCAACGATCGACGCAGATGAAAAAAATAAAATGAAAAATGATTATAGTTCAACTAGTATTAGTGATGATAACATTATTGCTGTCACTGTTGAGCCCACGAAAACTAGACCAGCAAACACAATGGTCAATGATGATACTAATGAATCAGATAAAATAAATAGTTCATCCACTGAATCGCTGGTCAACAGATCGTTAAACAATATTAAAACTAACAATAAACATGAATCAAACGGTACAGTTATAAATGAAATCAATAACGTTAACAAAAACCTACAGCCAGACCAATCGATACCTCAACCTAGCGCACAGTCGTCCAATAATGATGAAAACGATACTATAAAAATGACAACAGATAACACAAATGAATCAGAAAACGGTTTCAGTTTCGGTAAATTATTTTCGAACRTTTTCCCTAACGGTATACACGTATCTGCAGCTACAATTATTGGAGCATTGTATGTATTATATTTTAAAGTTTATGATAGAAATATGAGTAATTATAATTTTATATTCGTTTTAATATTCCAATATTGTTATATTACAGAGCTTCATTGACAGCTGTTACTGGAGTAGTTGGAACAGCCATAAATCGTTATTATTATAAACTATCTGGCACAGATCAAATTCCCTTCAAAGGAACATTCCAATCTATTTTTAATTCAATTAAAGTATGATTTAAAAAGTTTAAGCGAYGCTAACATTTTTATGTTTAAAATTAATTTTTTTTTGTTTTTAGGATATTATAATATCATTCTGCTGCTGTTGTCGTCGTGGTGGTTATGATGATTTAGAAGCACCARATTTATCGAATGAAAAAACACCACTTTTACAACCCAAATTTAGTATACCAACACCGCAAATTGTAGACGAAACGACTCAAAAATCCAGTGATGGTGGTGACAATGACGATAGTAGTAGACAAAATAGTAATAATGAATATGGCAGTATGTCAAATGAAAAGAAATCTTCAACTTCTGAAAGGAAACACCGTAAAATTAAACGAAAATCGAAGATTTCAGATAGGAATGATTCTACTACAGAAGAAAAACATATTAATATTGATAATGATTTGCAAGGAAAATCTATAAAAGATGTTATAAGTGGAAAAATTAATAAAATATTCACTGAAAAAATCAAACCAAAAATCAACAGTATTGCTGAAAATGTGGGGAAAAAGGTTGAATCAACGGATGAAGTTAAGAAGGACTTAGATATAATAACTAAAGAAGCAGCTTTGATATCTAAATTGTTAGAAAACGAAAAATCATCAAAAAATACTGATGACGTTCGGTCGAACGAGGAAATCAAAGCAAAAAATAATTCAGAAAAAGMTCAGTCAAACTTAATTGAAACACAGAATTCTATAGTTCAAGAAGAGATCAAAAGTACAACGCTTGACGAATCACAACAGTCACCAAACGTTGAACCTTTGAATGAAGTAACTGTTTCACAATTACCAGTACAGGGTCATCAACAAATTGAAAGAAATGAACAAGAGTCCGACTTGAAAATGAGTGACAGAGTTACCGCCGATGAATTAACCAAAAGTACAAAAAATAAAAATGATATTGTTATGAAAAGTAATATTGAAAAACTTCAAGATACCGTCATTACGTCTCCCACAGACACCATGACTAAAACTAACAAATCGAAATTAAAGTTCTTAGGACTCGAAAAAGAAGATGAAAATGTGCAAAAAGTGGTAAGCGACAAATCCATTGAGTCCGATAAAAAGATTGATAATGAAGAGGATGACGTTGAAGTTATCGAAGAAATTATATACGTCGACGCGACTGATGGTGCCGAAGATGAAGAAATTATTGAAGAAATAATAGAAACTACTACAATCGAAGATTCACCGGACGAATCTTCACCTGGTTCGGGACACTCCAAAGTCACAGTTCGGACAACTCGTAAAATATCGTCATCTTCGTTACCTGGAGAAGTGAAAACTATCGAAGAGACCGTGGTCACTGACGGTATACCCGAAAACGAGAAAAAACTGCGTGGATTCCAGGTTGGTGTCGGGAAATCCGGACTCAGCATGAGCGTTGGCGAGAAAAATATGGAAATCGGTAAGTCTGGAWTAAAGTTTAACCGCAGCAAAAGCAAATCACCGAAGAATGTAGAAGACGATGAGACCAGCAAGCGGGACACGAAGTCTCCGGAAAAGTCCAAGAAATCAATGTCGTTGCCAAAAATATTTAAACGGTCGATCTCTCAACCAGCGGACGACGACATACAAGAAATCGAAGAAGAGTCTGCGTCAAAGAAAAAATTGTCCAAGACAGGTTCCGGCTTGATGAAATTGAGAAAATCGCCATCTAAATCTACTGTAGTCYTGAAGACTGGTGATATCACGATGGATAAGGATGCAATGTCAAACTTCATAGACAACGAACGGAGTGCGTCGCGTTTATCGAATGTAGGACTACAAGGCGAATTCGATTTAACCGTCAGCGATGAAGGTGTTGCCGCCGCGGTAACAACTTCCGAAGGAAAAGATGCTGCGGTTAGCATAAAAACCGTCGAAAAATCTCCTAAAGATTTAGTGTCCGGGTCGGATAGAGACCAACAATCGACCAAAAATACYGAAACCAARTCAAACGTCAAACCCAAAAAACCAAAAAAAGACAAAACGAAATTAACAACTTTAACACGGCCGTTTTAAATGTATTCAAATCAAAGGAATAGTTTCAAGCTTACCGTGTAAGAAATATCATTGGTTCTTTTGTTTGTTATTTTTAAATATGTTTATAATAAATCTTTTCGGTCAAGGTTAGGTTAGGTTAGTTAGGTTAAATGTCAGTGCGTGCTATATCGGTCGGAATTTCAAATTCAACATATATGCCACTGTAAAATTGTTAATGTGTCCAATTTTTTTTATAAACTCAACATTGATTTATACTGAAATCTGTTTACTAATTTTAATTCTGTAAATTTATAATTTGTTGTTCATTATTTTCTTACAGTTTACTTATTCTTTCTATAAAAATTTACCTTTAATCAAAAATTATATTCATAAATTCAACTGTTTTATATAAGCATAACTATTAATACTAGTTTAATATATTCGTGAATAAAATGTGTTTTCTATTATAAATATTAAAGTTTTTAATAAGAACACTTTTGTTTTATAAATATATTTATTATGAACTGTATAAATGTAGTTGGCTGATGGCTTTCAAGTCTTGGAATATAATCTTAACTATTTCTGAATTGATTTATGAATGAGCCACATACAAACAGCAATAATACATTTATAGTGTTGGGTTGATAATAAGTATTTATTTCATCATATAATACAAAGAAAATATTTTTAACATAATAAATTATAAGTACATATTTTAAAGATGATTTATCGATGCAGATGATAGTTATAAATTTAATGATAATAAACGTGTAGCTCAAAGTCAATTTTATAAGTCGATTTTAAATCGTCGAATTTGATTAGAATCACAAATTATTGTGTTCATTGATTTATTTTCGTTAAAATGTTAAATACTATAAATGTTGATTCTATATAATTCTACTGATCGTGATATTTCTCCAATAAAATCAATTAGTTAATCTTACTTTAAAGTTACATACCATTTCATACTTACACATGCCTAGGAATATAATATATTATAAAATATAATTAAAACCAGTAAACTAATAAAAAACTACGGATTTATACCACACGCYATGTMCGCGGAAACAGGATACGTACTCTTTATCATTCATACCTTGTAAATAATTTTCAATTCTGTTTTTTTGGGACATTCAATTAGACAGATTGATCATTCATTTCTATGAATTACATTTTTTTCAATTCACGTATTTTGTGTATGCGTAACAAAATTTCTTTTTTATACAATGGAAACCCCTACTTTCAAAACCATTTTTTTATCAGCTGTTTTTTTCATATAATTTTGATTTGTCAATTTTTATTCTAAACCCGAAATTAACTTAATTAGAGCTAAGCATTGTAAAAAAAAATTAATTAATTAATTAACTAAATTTGATTTTTTTTTAGCTGTATTTATTTTTCCTTCTAATCACCACRACACAATCAAGCTTGTTATTATTATAAAATAAATAAATGAATCACTTTTTATGAATTAGTGTTTTAAATGATTTTATTATTAGATATCATGGAATTTYATAATTTATTATAAATCATGATTTTTCAGAAAACAAAATTCTAAATTCTAACTTGTTATTTCTTTTAAAATCTAAATCCAGCCCTAATTGTGAGAACTTTGGTTTTGAATACAAGCTGACAGATCAAAATTGTATAAAAAAATGATCTATCTGAAAATAGTATATTCAAAATAACGGTTATCACTAAAAAAAAAAATTAAATTGTGTTGCGAATGCGCAAAATTCATTAGTTAAAAAAAATGTAAGCCGTAGAAACTTATAAATGATCAGGCTTGTCGCTTGTATACAAAACATTGTTTATTTGTTGCTTGAAATTATTAAAATGGTACTTGTTTGTTATCGCCCCGCCAGTACACCGTATAACATTTATCTCCCCGCCATTCTTATTTGTTATCGCCCCGCATATAGTTATTGTGTTTAGCTCATGATAGATGATCTATTTTGGGAAATATTTTWGGAAATAACTACAYTTTGCGAGACATTTTATATCATACTAATATAATATCAAATAAATAATAATATTATATTAGTACGTTGCTGGCTTAATAAAATGTAATAATAAAAAGATATTTCTGAGTTCTGGC